TGGAAATCTGTTTGCATCTGTTTTATGGATTCCATTTGTTTCCTATGTTGGGATTCCATCATGTTCCTCAGATCTTCTATTTTTTTTATCTGTGTTCTTTCTAGATTTATTAATCGTGTCTTGCACCATGAGCAAAATCTTTGCTGTTATCTGAGTAATTGTTTCTGATTTCATTTTTCCCAGATCCTCTTTTGTTGCCAGTTCAGTGGGTCCAGGTGGTTGAGTATCGGAGTGTTCCATCTCTGGAAGGAGGAAGAAGAGAGGAGAGAGAAGGAGGAAGAGAGAGGAGTAAGAGAAAGAAGAAGAAGAATGAGAGAGGAGAGACAGTATGAGGAGGAAGATGAGAGGAAAGAGAAGGAGAAAGACGAGAGGAGGGAGAGAGAGGAGTGAGAGAAGGAGGAGGAAGAAGAGAGTGGAGAAAGGAAGAAGAGAGGAGGAAAAAGGAATATTAAGAAAGAACAAGAGAGAGAGAGAGAGAGAGAGAGAGCCCACACTGCTGCACTGTTTTTGGAAAATAAAAATGGAGACTGTTATATGATTCAGTATCCCCAGTTCTGTTACTTGATGTATACAAATTTGAAATGGCTCCAAGTCACATAAATTTCTGACTGGAAATCTGAAAATCTGAATAATTTTTTCAAATTTTATATTATTTTACAGGATGCTAGGCATGCAGCTGAAGAAGAGATTTATACGAACTTAAACCAAAAGATTGACCAGTTTCTTCAGCTGGCAGACTATGACTGGATGACGGGAGATTTGGACAACAAAGCTAGTGATTACCTAATAGACCTCATTGCCTTTCTGCGTAGCACCTTTGCTGTATTCACACACCTTCCTGTAAGTGATAATTGCTCTTATTTTGCCTTTCAATGTAGAAAAATGTTCTCTCAAACTCTAGTTCAGTTTAGATGTTAGTTTCTGATTTAACTAGCCAAGAAGTTCTTTGGCATATACAAGCTTACATTATGTTTATCAACTTTAATGATTTTTAGAGAACTTGCTTATTATTTTTTCATTGACTTTTTCAGTTTGTTTATTCTAAAAGTGATCCCTACTGTCATGTCTTCCTACTAATTTGAAGATAATTTGCACAAAGACATAATGAAAGCCTTGGTAAAAATGAAAGAGAAACTTAGGAGTTTGAATTTCAGATATCTTTTACTTTTAAGACATCCTTTGTTGTTTTATAAACCAAAATTCTCTGATAAAAATCTATTTATCTAATTTCTCTTTGTTTTCTTGAGAATATTAGTCATAGTCATTAAAAGTCATTGTTTATTGTTTCTTATGTCTTATTTACCTACATGTTGGTTGATTTCTGATGTTTTTTTCTTGGTTTTCAGTAATGTGGTCTTGTGTTTTTCTAGTATTTTTGTGGTTGATGTTAGAAATTGTGTTTAAGGTAGTGGTCCCTGGCACTAATATTTTCCACCAGAAAAGGTTCATTCTTTCCTTTACTGAGTATGTATCATAATGGTCAGATGAGTTGTGGTTTGAGAGTGATCACCTTAGTCCAGTCAATCATGGACTGATCTGGGTGAAGCTAGGATTGTACTTGTAATGTATCTCTGGTTTTCCCTGTTGATACCTGTGGTTCTTCAGGGCTTTTAATGAGAGCCTTGGAAATTATCTTTTCTTCAGCACCAAATAAACTGTAGAAATTTTTGTTTTTCAGAGCAACCATATCTATTCTGCCTCTTGCCTTCTTTAGTTTTAGAATTTGGCAAAAATGTCTTAAGAAAAAGTCTTAGCAATACTCAGTTCAGCAATTAATAACAGGATAAAAATGTCAGTGTCAGCTTACATTTTCAAGAGTGGTCAGGGCTTCCTATAGTATCAGTATTTGTATATTCACTAAATTCATATGTTAAACCCAAGTATCAATATGATGATAATAGGAAGTGAGTCCTTGGGAATGATAGTCATGAGGGTGGCACCTTCATGAGTAAAATTAATATCCTTATAAAAGAGGCTCCTGAGAGCAGTTTTTTTGCTTCCATCATCCGAGGATACAGCAAGAAGATGCCTTTTATGAAATGGGACGTAGACCTTCACCAGGCACTGAGCCTCCTGGCATCATGATCTTGGACTCCCCAGGCTCTACTATTGTGAGAAATAAATTTTTGTTGTTTATTAGCTATCTAATCTGTGTTATTTTCTTGTTGCAGCCTTTATGGATTATGCTCCTCTTGTGATTCTTAATGCATTCTCCGACTAGTGGGTCATTCTCTTTGAAACACTGTATGATCATGGGAGATTCATTTTGCTTTTCAAAGGTTTTAACTTTTCAATCCTCATTTTTCTTAGCTGTATACTTTTTGAATTCAGCAAATGTCTTGAGGGAAAAACTGGCCTTCAAATCTCTAATTTGGGTACTTTTAATCTCTTGAGAGAGAGAAAAAATGGTTTCTTTACTTTTAGTAGCAACTCTTTATCTTGAGCTGATTCTGTTTGTTGTTCATGTGGAGCTTTAGCTGCAGATCCTAAGCTTACATTGAAAGGTTCTCCCCTCTCTAGTTTAATTTCCTTTAATCTTTCCTGTTTCATAGCACTTCAGTGTCTTAAAGACATTTTGTGTCTTCCTTTTTATTTGGCTGTTTGTTATT